ACAAAGGGAAATTTAGAAATGGTTGAATTTTTGTGGTTCCAGTTTTTGTACGCCCTCGATTTTTTTTAGCAAAAAGGGGCGTGGAGTGAGCCACACCTTCGAAAATTGCCTAGACAAACTACTGTAAAGTTTAGAAGAGCTTTGACCTTTAATTATCTACGATCGCAGACTACTATGAATATTCTTGAGACCCATTATGCCCCGCCCCTTCCTTTTGATGTATTTCTACCAAATTATTTCTATTTTTTTTCAATCATTTAACACTACTATTTAGAAATTTTGATTTCGAATTTCTCGAGCTATTATTTCAAATCGTAAGTTTCGAACTTTTTATCTTTGAATCAAAAATTAGTATTTTGTGATGTGTGCGGTATTGTGAGAGGAAAAAGTTAAAAATCAAAAGCAGAGAGTAGAAAAGGATAGACACACGAAAAGCAGTGGCGGCGCGAGAAATTTATTTGAGGGAGGGGAGGGAGGGATCGAAATGGGCGTGTGGCCACTTCCATCAGAAAAAAATTCACGAATGGTTGAATTTTTGCGGTTACAATTTTTGTACCACCTTGATTCTTTTTAGCACAGCTCCTTCAAAATTTCTCTACAACTATTAGGTGGAACCAAAAGTACGTTCGCCACTTTTTCAAAAAATCATAATTTCCTTTCGAATCGATGGATCTCTTTGATTTTATATTCATCTAAGAGAAAAAATCATTCTTTTTACAATGGTATGTCGGGACGCAGCTATTACCCAACAGCTGCCCGCGATGGAGGTTGGCCTTAGATAACGAACCTCTGGCAGTGACGTCCGCCCGCCGTCAGGAGACGGTTCCTTCTTCCCCCTTTCCCTTTCCCCTTTTGTATATAGTTTGTATAATAAATATTATAGTACGTCTAATGTAACCCGCTACACATCAGGTAAAGGCGTCATGAACCTTTATCCTGACGGGTATCTCTGCCATAAATTGGCTTAAGAAAGTTCGCGAGTTAGAAGCAATTGAAGATTACTCAAGATTGGCATTTTTCAAGTAGGGTCACCAAGAAATTCTGAAATTTTTTGATAAAAAAAATTATGTTCTTTACTATAGTGCCTTTTCCAAAAACAAAAAACATTGAGAATTACAGTTTTGCAATTTTTGAACACGCTCAAAAATGCCCAAAAACGTCACAGAAAAGACGGGATATTCATGAACATGGGTTTGTGACCTCCTTCTAGCTGAGAGAAATTCGTGCCAATCGAAAGCAATTTTGATTTTCGTAGAAAATCAGATCCGAAAACTCGTTAATATTACGATCAAAATTGCTCTCGATTGGCACGAATTGCTCTCAACTAAAAAGAGAAGGTTACTAAACCCATGTTTACATGAATTTCTCGTCCCTCCCGACCCAAAACTGAAGCAATTTTCTTTATTTGCTTCTAATTCTCAATCTTTTTTATTCTTGGAAAAGGCACTACATTAAAGAGCATAGCGTTCTCTATTGAAAAATACTTTCAGAATTTTTTGGTGACCCTGCTTGAAAATGCCAATTTTGAGTAACTTTCTTCAGTTGATTCTAACTTTCAAACTTTTTTATGCCAAGTTATGACAAAAGCACTGCTGTAAATAGAGTGATTTCCTCTATTAGAAGAATATAAACGCAAAGAGATCCATTGAGTTGAAAGAAAGTTATGATTTTTTTGAAAAACTGGCGAACGCACTTTTGGTCCCACCTAATTTGAATCTGAAAATTTTTGAAAATATTTCAATAATCACCAAGAGTTTGTAGATCACTTTGAAATTTCGGTGGCCCATTTCCCCCCTCCCCCTCTTTGTTTTTATATGTTTCTACCTAATCGCTTCTGCTTTATTCATATCCATTGCATATTTTCTACAAAGCAGTAGTTTTAAATTACTTGCATTATTACTTCAATCAAAAGCAAAGAAGTTTGACTTACCTGAACAAGGGCGTTGTGCTTAAACGAAGTCCCTCCGTTGAGTCCTTTTCCAGCATTCCAGCAGCTTGGTGATGGTTGTTCAGACACCTGCACCGATGCCTGAAAGAATACTTAGAATGTGGATGAGTATAGGTTTACTTACGCCAACATTGAAAAAAGAAAGAAAAAAGAGAAAGATTAGAGGAGGAACAGAAGCGAAACAATATGGAAGAAAAGAGTGCGCTATGCGCTGTTGAGGTTGCGTCCGCCATTTCGCAATCGCGAATGCATGCGCTCTCAGAGTCCTGCGGAAATGCTGGCAGGTCAAAGTGCTGCGGAAACCTTACGAGCCTCACTGCACTTTCGCAGCGCTTTATGGAAAGTGCTGCGGAAGTTCCGGTTTACGATCGCTGTGACGTCAATTTCCTGCGGAAACCTCGCATTTTGGAGCGTGCATTTTCTCAATGGTTAAAAAAGTGCTGCGGAAACGCTGCAAGCTCTGCTTGTCCTGCGGAAGTTCCGGTGAATTGTCTGAGTGACCAGTGGCCAAAGAGGGCCTTTGGGGCGCCGCTGCCGCAGAGTGTATAAAGAGATGTACTGAGTATTGTGGAAGTACTACCACCTTAGGAAAGTGGTCGCACCCGGACAGGCTATCGATAAATTTTTTTTTGAATTCAGAAAAGGTTCGGCGTTGCTGTTGTGCTGCTCAAAAAGCCATGGCGATAGCATCGCAAAGACAGGGTAGGTTGGAGAGCAAATACAGCTGTAAGAAAGAGGATGAAAATCCGACAAATGGTACCTAGACCTTTTTTGGATTGGTGTTCTGTGAGTTTTAGTGAGTGATGAAAAAACCGACAAAACTTTCGGGACAACCTGATATATAGAATGATTATTGCGAAGTAATTCACATGACTCCCTTGCTTAGACCTTGCAGTGGCTTCTCTGATTCTTGGTTAGTCGATTGTTGGCTTGAAAGTGCTCATTATTGCGTGCAAAGCTGACGGGTGAACCTTCACCCGTCCGCTTGTGTTGCGAAAGTGCAAAACATAGGTTTTGCCATAGTTTATCGAAGGCAAAATATTTTTTCCTTGGTAAGGCCTTTTTATCATTGTCCCATACTGCGAGGCTTTTCTATCATCTCGCAGACGCCACTTCGATATCCGTCCAACGTGTTACTAGTTGACCGCGTCCTGCTGAAGAAGGCAATCGGCTAGTCTGGCGTCTATCTAAGTGTGAAAAGATTCTGCCAAAAAGGTTCCATATTTCAGAACTGTCGTTTAGCAGGTAGCAAAAATAAATTTGTAATCAGCATTCCAAGGCGCATCTGAGGATATGTGTCTCATTAGTATAGCCATGGTCACAACTCTTCCCCTGTTAACTTTGATAAGAAGTCGTCCGATCGTCCAAATAATGTAAGGGCTATATCCAAGCAATTGACAACGCTTGGCTTTTTTTAGTATTTTTCTTGCGTTGGGTAGAGTATGAGCTTCGTAATGTGTAGAAATTTCGAAAGTGAAGCGTGGAACCGTAGGCTGAAACCTTTCGGCAAGTGGTGGTCTAAACGCTGTTCTCACTTCCATAAGTATACCAACTTACCAAATTGATCCTTGAAAAAAAAGGCTCAAGCTCGCTTGAATGTGTGCCTAGTGTTAGAATAGATAACAGCTGAATTTTGAATAAGTGCGCCGACCCTCTCGACTGCCTGAAGTGACCCGCTCGGCAAACACACCACGATTAAACGTAGCACTGTTGCGCAACATGGACCGCGCCCTCTCATTCCTGTGCTGGCCACACGGTACCGTTCAAACTTGACCTCCAGTGACCCGCGCTGGCCGCGTTGAGCAATGGCGACAACGCGCTGTCGGCTCGCAATTGTTGCACTATGAACCCCATCGGTACCCGTCATGCGACTCAGCTGTGCAACGCCTGTCTATAATCATCTCAGACGTATTTTTCTGTGAAACGCACAGTACAGCTCTGAAATATCTTCGCCCTTATTTATCCTCATATACAGTCCTAATTTTCTCGGCAGTGATTTGTGTAACTAGGCCACATTTCGGATTCGCAGGAAACATCAAAATATAAAAACTTTTTTTCAATTCAGGCAATGTTTTTCAGCAACTATCTTGAGGCTAGAACAATGTACTTGCATTCTAAACAGGGTTGAACCTTTTTCTTGTTTATAACAAAGATAAATAATTCTAGGTGGACAAATCACGGATACAAAGTTGATGATCACAATCTTGTTTAGAGAATTTGCGCAAAGTGTACTCTCTTAGTCTCAGGATATATGTGTTTTTTCCATTACGGATATGAAATAAAGCGATATTGCAACAACTAGCAACCCTTTCACTCATTTTAATATCTAATTTTCCTTTTCTTCCTCCTCAGTATCTTACAACCTTTCTCAATGACTAAAATCAAGAATTCTAACCAGAAACCATTTAACAAAAATCAGCTTTCAAAAAATCTTGAATTTATTTCCTATAGGTAATTCCACCTACAAGAAACAAGTCAAAATTGGAAAAGAAAGGCTGTTGATGAAGACAGTCGATTTATTTTGCGAAGCGCGTGCGAACGCTGAGGCTATACATCATCAAAGCTCTTTAGCCCGCGCACGCCTTGCTTACTTGATCGGCCGCCTTCGTCTGGGAGTACCTTCTCCAGTTCTCAAAAAACCTGAAAAATTCTTCGGAAGAAATTTTCCTGTATATAATAAACATAGAGACAGCAAAAACAGACAAAAATTGGGGTGTATGGCTGATTTCTTTGATTTATCTGTAAGCTAATTTTGATTTATAAGATATGACAAACCCCATATGTGGCATAAGTGTTGACCAAGTGTTTACTCTACATTGTAAAATTTAAATTTTGGTCGGCGTATTACTGCAGTGCGATGATTTTGAACTGTTTTTCAAAGGCGAATCATCGCACGCAGAAAAACGGCGACTCTGCGGACGCCATCTCCAGTTCACATTCACTTTCATCCCTCTACCCATTTATTTTTTCTTCCGAACACGAATCAACTTGATTAAACCTAATGGTGTCCAGTTTCTGTGTGAATGATTTATACCGAAGTACATGTTTTAGGATGAACATACCAACCCATGATGCGTCAGTGCTCCGCGACGACGAACACCAAAATGAAGATTTGTTCAGCAGGATGACAGCGTCGGCATCATCGGAATGCGCCCTTTCTGATTTTCAGAACAAGCCAGAGAGGTCCGCATTCCGAGCTGTCGGTGGAGCACCTTTGACAGTGCAGCAGCGACTGAGGGCGATGTTCGAGCATGAGATGCCACAAACAATCTCGTAGGTGCTAGGTTCGGATCCTTCTCTTGATTATTCCAATTCTGCCGCATTAGCCCGGCTGCTGAAGAACGCTGCTCCTCATCAAACACCGATGGGAATTTGAGCGAAGGAGTCAAAAAAGATGTATGTTCATTATTCTTATCCACAACGGCTTCATCAGTTGTCGGTCTTTTAGGCTGACTATCTAGCGCGACGACGTAAAAACAACAACTCAGCAAGAAGATCTCGGGAGGTGCGACGACAAAGGGAGATCTTCAACAAGCAACAAGCTGAGGTTAGCACATATCGCATACTGGTGGTAGACTGAGTCCCCTGCGGCCGAGTTTGGTGACGAAATTTGCGCGTAAAAATTAGCTACACATGTAATGCCGGCAGTCTGTACGTGCAAAATGTTGGCATTTCAGATGTAGCCACTTGTTCATGCGCAATTTTCGTCCAATCTCGTTGGAGGACTATATTTATCGTCAGATCTACTATTAGGTTGTCAAATCCAGGTATTGGAGCCAAAAACCAAAATTTTTAAAGGCCCCAAAAATAGGGTCTCCTCCCAGAAAATTCCTAACCTCCCACTTGGTCATTTGGCAGACGCTTAATAATACCCAAAAATGTATTTGGTGGTTTTTTGTGGGGCTCAAAACTGAGAGATAAATATGGCTTAAAAGTGCAGAAATGTCACTTTCTTCGGGTTTTCTATGTTGAACTTGGTATCTCTCGATTACCAAAGCAGGTAAAATTTTAAGTCTATCCTTATTAAGGCTTGTAGTATGCAATGGCATATGTGGGAGGGGCTGGGGCGGGTTTGCCTCTCTTGACCTATGTTTTTTTCTCGCTTTTTAAGCACGAAAAAAGCAGCGAAAGCACATTTGAGTATGCTGTGGGTTTGGTATAATGGCCGAGTTTGAGGTCCCCAGATTTTTTCTCGCTAAAATCTAATTTTCAAGTGATAAATTTTTTTCCGATTTTGGCCTCAGACTGTATGAGTTACGAATTAGGCGGGTCTTTGTCGGTGATTTTGTAGTGCTTGCTTCGCTATACATTTGCTTCAGTCTACCTAACTTCGATATGTTCCAGGTTCTCGAGAAGGAGAATGTGCGGCTGCGAGCACAGATCACTCTTTTACGATTAGAAGTCAGTCGGCTATCTCTTGTATTGCTTGCGGATGGCGTAAAATCGTCCTCTTGATATTGGATAAATCTTAATCGATCTTGTTCCATCATTTTTGCTCTTATGTGGGTAGAACTGGTAGTTCTCGCTTTCAAATGCTACGATGCATACATAAATCCCTCCCCCCGTGTATGTGTAAAACTGTGCACTATGCTGAAGAAGTGAAATTTTTCTATTTGACTTCGATCAATGTTAAAAGTTGGAATTTTCAGATAACTTAATAGTCATTATTCGAATGGAATGGTTTGATCTTTCGCAAGTTTTCAATTTCGTTCACGCATTATTCCGACATGATAGCAGTAGCTAGGAATTGAATGTCTATTTTGCACTGAATTTTTTAACAGGCGTTCAACGTTCAACTTCCACGTTGACGGATTTGATAATGTATCATTCATTCTCTGACACGAGACACAAGCACGCTTTGCGTATGTCTGATTAACAAATTTATCAGTGTCTTCCAACTTGTACTGTTGGACAACTACGGGGATTTCGTGAAAGAACATATTCGAGCTTGTCAGGATAAAAGTTTTTACTGGGCTGATGGTAATCCCCCGCGACCTGGCGGCAGGTCTCGTCGGCAGGTCGCAGGGACCTTGCCGTGGGCGCGCCAGAAAATAAGGTCCCAAATGTAGGCCCTCTCAAGCTTTTTCCAAGAAAGTTTTGAATGAAAGTACCACCGCGAATTGAAAAAAAAACCCCATCGATATTCGAAGTTCCAGGAATCTCCCTATAGGGAAATCGCGAGCTTAGTTGCCGGCAACTAAGCTCGATTTTCTTAAAGATTTGCGAGATGGCAGATGCCGGCAGGTCAGGGAGCACGAGAAATAATGTGCTCTTTTGGGAAAGGAAGTTGCCGGCATCTCGACGTGCCCCTACCACGTCGAGGTGCTGGCACCTTGCTGGCCGTCGTGCTGGCACCTTGCTGGCGCCGTCTGCGAGTTTGGATAGTGCGGCATATCACACAATTTTCATCAAGCAAAAAAATCAAAAATTCTACTTTCCATCGAGATATTATCATTTTTGTCATTATTTAGGGTTTTATGATGAAATCGATGATACTGGAAAAAGAGTTTGGCATTATCGCAAAAACTCTAGCAGGATCGCCTTCTTTTGCCGTAATAATTTCTTTTGCAACCATCTCTCTTATTGCGTCCATATTAACCAGCTGTCCTTTCAGGTCAACGTCTATCACTCAATGTATTATACGCCTTCTTAGAGGCGTCTCCTGTTTACGCGTTCTGTTATTGTTTTGCGAACAACAGTAAATGATGAAGTGGTCTATTGGTTAGCGCGATCGCGCTCGAAGCAACGCATGCAGTTTTGAACGCGCGAAATGTCATCGTTTTGCAGAGGACTACGTCATCATATAAAATTATCAAAACCAATAATCAGTCTGCTAGCTGCCGCCGAAGTTGGCAACTTCCTGCATGTCTACCAACCAGTGTTAAGCGTGCTATGCGATCCGGGACCCTCATTTACCACCCCTCTCCTAAAGGTACCCATCCGTACGACCTCCCCCCCCCCCCACCTACCCCTCCCCCCTTCCACTTCCTTTTGCGGTAACCTGCATAAGAATGCCAATCTCAAAAGATGCCTGCCAATAGACCTCAATCAAAATTATAGGTTAGAGAAAGATAACTACTTAAAAATTGAGAGATAATGCAGGTAATGCTTCACCACTCAAAAAATAAATAATTCTACGTAGAGATTGGGTAAGTAGTAAAATTTTACAAATTGGCTATGCTTATTGTATTTAGGAAAATATGAATGGAAAGGACATCATTTGACAAAGAACATCGATTATGGTTTGAATGGTTAAGCTGCACTCTACCTATAAAAAATGAAATAGAAAACAACCAAGAAAAATTCAGCATTACGGAACGGTTCACTTTAGTCATTATAATTGACTATTTTATAATAACTCCTTTTTAGTGAAGGCTAATAAACTTTTCTGCTGTTTATGAATGTTTGGCATAATCCTTTCATGGTCCAGTGATACCGGAAGATATAGACTATGGTTCTGAAAATTAGAACATTTAAGACTTTAAGACAGTCCCGTGTTTTATCCCCGTACGCGACATTATTTTTTTGCAGAGAGAAAAAACTATATCTTTACAGCAGTGGCGGTCGCAGGATTTTGGCCGGGGGGGGGGAGGGCGGCAAAAAAATTTTTTTAATGAGGTCCGTGGCGTTAGCCACGCACTCCGAAAAAATTTTAGAGGTGCTTCTCAAAATTTTTGCGGGTCCCCAACCCCTAAAATCTGGAAGAAGGGGGCGTGGCATTTGAATTTTCAAAAAATTTAAAAAATTATTTTAATTGTTTACAAAAATAATGCCCCCCTCGGTCCGCCACTGCTTTAGGGCGTAAAAACTGTTTTAGACTAAAAAGCATACTTTCTATCTATTGCACACTCAGGGATTCGCGCCGTGCGGGCGGTCCTCATTAAAGCTCCTCCGCCTGAGCGCACTGCATAGTTTTTGATGTACCGTGCGTGCGGTCAACAATAAAAATGCCGTGCAAGCGGAAGACAGTCTTCCCGTTCGATCGGTACGCAATAAAATCGACCGTGCAAGCGGCAGGCAATGTGTCCGTCCGATCGGGCGGCAAACATTTGCCCGTGCAAGCGGCAGGCAATCTCGCCGCGCAGTCGGTACGCAACACAATTGCTCGAGCGAGCGGCCAGCAATGCGTCCGTCTTATCGGTCGGCAATACATGTTGCCGTGCAAGCGGCCAACAGTGACCTCTATTTTCTGCTCACTATTTTCACACATTGTGAGCGTAAACGGTACCTGTGTGAGATACGACACAGTGTTTAGGCTGGCCAAGCGTTGACACATCGTGTTATCAACATTTTCTTCTACCAGCAAGGCGGAATGAACCTGTGTGAGGCTACAGTTATCAAGAGTGATGGTGAGGGCTTCCCCATGAAAAGTATGGCAATGCTGCGAGCATCGATCCGTGTTCCCAAAATGTGCAAAGGATTGATCTATCCAAGAAAAATGGTCAAGATATCGCAAATACATCTACTCCAAGAGCAAGCGAGCGGCCGACTTTCTCCGCGCAAACGGCGAACATTAGAGACCGTGCGAGCGCTCCACCTTAACCGTGCCAACGGCCCTTGACGACCGTACAATCGCACACACCAACGAGCGATTGTAAGGTCGTCGCTGGCCGCCCGCACGGCGCGAGTCCCTGAGCAGATTTTCCCGCGGAAAAAACAGGTTTGGCGCTTTCCAGAACGATGCTAAAAACGTGCATGAGCACGGTACTTTGGAGATTCGTAACTAAGGCCAGGGAAAGAGTGAGAGGCTGTAATGAATAGGTTGTGTAGCATTATGCCCAGACTATCCATGGAAAAAATGTCAGCCATTGAGGAGCAATGAGCTCGAAAAAATCTAGATGCGACTCTAAAAAGCAAAAACTGGGATTTTTAATCTTGAAATTTTGTAACTCAGCGGACAAATATCGAAATAGCCTAAAATTTTTATGATAGAAAGTAGGAGGATGGCCTCGTATTACAGCAAAATTGCAGCGAGCAGGCCTCCATAGCGGCGAAAAAATTTAGATGCGACTCAGATACGACCCCCCCCCCCCTTTTTTCATTTTTTTGTTGCCATATATAAAATTTAAAAAAATCCACAAGTCATGAATTATAACCAGATTTTGCACAACTGTAGCAGAGCATTTCCAAAGTACAGGTAAATTATATGAGCCCTTAAAAGACATAACAAAAACGTTTTTCAAGAGTGTGAGGTATAGTTGGTTCCGAATCGAATAGAAATTCGATCATTCGAATAAAACATTCGAATATATTATTCGAAATGCGATATTCGGAGTTCTTCCATTTTCGAATAATATTCGTGACTTGAATGATTGAGAAAACGGGATTTCGAATAAAATTCGAAACTCGGATAATCAAAAAACAGGGTTTCGAATGAAATTCGAAAACTCGAATAATCAAAAAACGAGGACTCGAATTATTAGGAAACTCGAATAATCAAGAAACGGGGCTTCGAATAGATTTTATTTGAATGTTTTATTCGAATGTTTATTCGAATTCGTATTCGAATGAACTCCGTAATCAGATTATTCGACTTTGTTGCAGAACCATCTGCTGAGTATTATCAAGTTCACTTCGTCCGCGTTTTTTTTTCGCAAAACTGGGTAATGCATCTTTTGCAACTGTTATGACCTCTGAACTGTACGGAGAGTCGCATTCTTTCGACTGTTTGCGACAGTAAAAAAATCATATGTGGATTTTAATTGATGCTTTTTCGATCAACGAGATTGTTCGCACTGCTACTGGCACCAAATCAGCAAAGAAGCTATCAAATTCAAGCTCATGTTCCGAGTTCATATATTGAAAGTGTTTTGAAATGCCTGTTTTTCTTTCTTTGCATTGCTCATGCTTGTGGTACGCAAAATCCGCACTAGTGAGCAGTCTTGCTCGCATAAGTTATATTGCACAACTGCCTCTATTCGCTACCTTAGAGGTGTATTTTGATTAAAGGAATCGCAATTGTAGTGGAGGATTAGACGGTTTAGATCGCCGTATGCGATTTGCCAGTTACGAGATGTCTTCAAATATAACGCCAGCTTACCACAAATGTTTAGCGTGTACAACTTACTAAAAAGATAAATGCCCTGCATTGTGTACTTCTAGAATAAGTTTTGATCAAAATTTATCGACTGCTTTTTTAGATCGTTCAATAATGGGTAAAATACTTCTTGCTGATGTACAGACTAGTTGCCAACCGACCACCTTCATCGATTTTTGGAGAACTTTGAGCTTCGGGGCTGGAAGTTGGTACAAAGGGGTAAGTGAGGGTGCTGATTATGGATAAGAATTTACTTTATCGATTTTATCGATTTCTGGAGAAGTTTGAGCTGGGGGGCTGAGAGTTGGTACAGGGGGTTAAGTGAGGGCACTGATTATAAAGAAATATTTACTTTATCGATTTTGTCGATTTTTGGAAAATCTCGAGCTACGAGATTGGGAGTTGGTATAGGGGGATAAATGAGGATGCTGATTGAAA